TAGATTACCGGAAATGGCATTCTCAGTCTAAAAATTTAAATACAATTTTCTTTTTTTCTCCATTATTTTTCTATTGGGGGGGGGGAGGGGGGGCGACACTGATCTGGTTAATGAGCTTTTGTAAGGTTCAATTTTATTTTGCAGCATACTGTGATACCCATCAGTACTTACTTCTGTGAGACAATTGACAATAACACAGTGAAAACATGCAAATATGAATTTGCTGGATGAGTTATTTCCGTGAGATTTTTGTTTTCAGTTTTCCTGATTTCCGGGATACTCTCAAAGCTCCGGGAGACTCTCACAAGCTCCAGGAGATTCGGGGCCCCTGGTTAACCCAACATGTAATACCACATGGCGTAATAGGGCAGATTTTGCGATACATTTACTATTAAATTTATAATACTGAATGAGTATATTATTTAATTTATATGCAGGGAAAAAAATGTTCTCATTTTAATTTTCAACATAAAGCTACTCTTTTTTAGAATGATTAACCTCAACAATCCAGTTCCAACAAAAACAAAAATCCTTAGGTCATTATGTTATTTTATTTATTTTATTTTTATTTATTTATTTATTTTTGTATTTTGCTTAGAAATTAACTTTATAAAAATATAAAAGATAATAAGTGAAAGGTTAAAGGATACTCAAATAATAAGTATTACTGTACAACAGTTGGTTAATATTCTATCTTATTGAGTCATACAATTGTTAATAGCTATGGGGTATTTAATGTATCACTTCTGCTGGTTGCATTGGCAATGCTAAATATGTTTTATTTTTTACGAATGCTAAAATTTAACATCTGAAAAAGAATTAAATACCATCTGCCATAAATCTTACAAAATAATTCAGTTACATCATCAAAATTACTGTTTACCAGGAAGTTGCTGGAACTTAATGGAACACCAATCAACAACAAAATTTTCACTGACTTAATAGGCCTTTTTTTTAAATCCTAAAATTGAATACTGATTCATATTTTGAAAGTGTTACTATAAGTAAAAGAGCAAAGTACTGGGAGAGGCCTTTTAAAAATGGTACAATAAACATAAAATAATAGTCCAGTGGGCCTACTGAAACGATGGATACGCTATTGGCCCATTGCCACTGAACAAGGAAATAAGTAACTTGCAAAACGTTTACGTGCATTAAGTGAAACTACTTTTTAAGATGATCATTCACTCACATAAATTTCTTAGGAAAAAAAATCTTAGCTAAAATTTGATTACAAATTCTGCATCCTAAAGTTTTTTTGTTTTTTTTCTAGCACAATATACTGTAACCAGAAAAGCCAAAAAGTTTGCATCGAATTATTTTACATATAATTTTAAAGACATGTTGCTAATGTATTTGTCATTGAAACAATGGAATCATCATGCTAAGGTATTGATTAATACAGATTGGTAGTGTCATATTTCTCTGTTATTGATATTTTTACTACAATGACAAAACAAGCAGAGGATGTGAGAAAAACAGGAGAGAGCGGGAATGACGCTACGCGTCATGCATCTACGTCAAAGCCTTTTGTCTCTACCTGTCGAGACGCCTTTACACAATAAACCAGCAAACAGATTATAAAAAAACTTGGAAAAAACGCCTCTGTAAGCCTATGGAAGGGCATATTCATTAATAATGATACATCAATTGTTACACTAACAATCCCTGCAATTTTCAGTATAATTATAAATCATTTATTTACTGTTTTTATTTTCTAATAATCTGGACCACTTGTACTTAAACTTACCTATTTGTTACGTCAACCAAATATCTAAGAATAGTAAAAAACAGCACAACAATGTGGTTTTATATAATATACTTCTTAATGTCCTTTTAAAATTATTTTTAACTTATGAAATACCATACACTGTATCACCTACTGTATACTTTTATTTTTTATACATGATTATATAATTCAAATATGTTAAAATGAATGAAAATGACATTGAAAAAGAAGAATAAATGAAAGTGGGTTGCCCCCACAAAAGCGAAAAAAAAAAATATTTTGTTCATGAAGTACCTCTAAAATTGATAAATGACAAGTGGAAGAAATAAGAATGAATACCTATATGGTAGGACAGAGGTAATTATGAAATAGGTGAATGAACGATAATCATCAATATTAATATATAACCATTATTTATATTGGTATGAGAAGGGTTAAAGAAGCAATGAATGATAAAATTAAAAGGATAAGGCATTAATGAATATTCATGAGTAGTGGGAACTTTCTTTACCATGGTAGAGTAGATAGCGAATAAAAAATTATTAAGCGAGAAAAAGTTAAGGTTGTTAAAGTAGAACAACTACAATTGGTGGTTTCTGAGGGAAGCAATGGAAAATTCCAAAATGCAATTTGCTAGGCTAGTGAGGGAAATGATTTCAATATGTAATATCGTTGGAAGTAATTCAAGGTACTTGTGGATAGCATCAATATTTAGGATACTATTGATGGGGAAAAAATCTATTTTTAAAATACTAGGCCTGTATTTATCAATGGAGGTATTATACTGTAGATTTATCCCATTTGGATAGTGAGTCATTCCAATTCCAATACAAATCTAATTGAATACATTGACCAAGTTCTCTTAAAATCTGGAAAAACCTCAAACATTTAGATGAAATAAGCCATTAAATTGCTAATTTAAAATCAAATACAGTAAATTATAAAATTCACACAGACCTACAAACAGTCCAAATTAGTTTTTGTCAAATTTACAGACTTCTACGAAATCTTTAATTTAAGGGACTGTACTAAAGAATATAGAAACCGGGATAGAAAAGGTATTTACAAGCTTTTTAATTCACATGTTTTGCAAAATGCTGCCCACAGGTTTTATGAAGACCGGCGTCAATTTTGTTGTAGTCTGTGAAAAATATTAAAATCCGTATGTTTGCAGCCCACCTA